TGGGATGGGTTGGGATGAAATTTATTTTTTGGTAAATCCCATGGGATGGGATGGGACGACTTGCATTATCCCACGGGACGAAAATTTCGTCCCATCCCATCCCATTAGGAGCCCTGTTCCTCACACTTATTAATTCTATGAAATAAGCGTATACGATGTTCTCGCGTCGTATTTCCCACGAGGTTTATCTGAACTAAACTTGAATGCGTGATAAAATACTGCCCCAAGCTTGACTAACGATGATCTTAAGAATCATTTTTAGATAAAGGCAAAAACCTGTATTGACTGTTTTCTGAGTAGCAGAGAAAATATTAAAGATAGACGGCTAACCAATTTATATGCGAATAATTCATAAAACTAAACAATTTAAGATTCTAGTGTTGAAGAAAAGATACGTTCGATGTGTTATTGTGAACAAATATTATTGACCTATAGATGCAACTAGAAATAGTAGACATAAACAATTGTACTCCCCAATTGTACCTTAAAGTACTTTAACGTACATGAAGCATCACATATCGCATTTTCACTGTGCTTTCCATGAGATGCAATTAGTAGGTAATATTTCAACACAACTGTGTATAGTTTCAATGACGTTTTTTTTATTGTATATTAAATAAGATATATGTGATTCTAGAATATAATTTAGAATGAATAAGAAGAACACATCTACTTTATAGTGACACACAAGTATTATCGTAAAGGGCTTTTCAACAAAAATAAGGGTTATTGTTTTATGTATTAAGTTTCTAATTTGAAACTGGATTTTGAGCTTCTCTCAATAAACGTTAACAGCACAAAAAGTGGGTTTACCACCTGTGCCTGTAGCGTGTGGGTGTGGGTGTGTGGGTGTGGGTGTGGCTGTGGGTGGGTGTTTCTCAGTAGTTCCTAATTAGGTAAAGACGCACACACCTACAAAACCATACCACACTCCACTCCCACACCCACACCCTTTTTGTCGAAGATCCTGATTTGAACCCAAAGAAAAGCATTAGCGTGAAAAATTGCCATATTTTCCTCACCAGCATCGGATTTTGCGTCGAATGATTTGTTTTTCAACAGGATTCGGCGAAAAAAACGTTTTCAACATTTTTTACCCGAGAAAACTTAGAGTAGGAGTTATGATTATCAAAATACTAGACTTTGTTCAGAATTCGATGCTGATTCCGAATATAGAAAAATATGTACCTGTCTATGAACAAAATCACTGATAAAAAATTAATACTTTAATGACATCTCAAGCGTATTTATAGGACATTTCGTAACGCCGTATTTGTAGAACACGAACTTGAATATTGAATGCAGCTGCAACTAAAATGGATTCTTTTTGTAGAGCTTATTGAGCTCTAGCCAAATGTGTTATTTTTCTTGCAAATATTAGCAACATAAGCGCGCAAAAATACATAATTAGTGAGTTTCGTTACGGACTTTCGTCAAAAATGGAGATGGTTTCTGAACCTATTATCTTCGTTCGTAGACAATTATCACCTGATAGAAGGACCATGTTTTTAAAGAGCACTTTTTGACCGATTGAGTAATAAATAATTGAAGATTTTGTGAAACACGTCCTGAAAGGAGTGTTGAAGTTATTTAGGGTAGAAATTTGGATCCACCCCCCTCCACAGACCGTTACAGATAGGTGATTCCACAGTCATACACCATTGCAGACCGATGAAGACGAGCTAAAGTATTGAGAATAGGGATTCGCGTTGCTTTTGAAGATAATTTAATTAATTAACTAACTAACTAACTAACTACAGCCTAATTAAGTAACTACCCTTCAGAGACCCTGAGAGACAAGGTTTGGATCCATCACAAACGGTATTAGAAATTCAGGGAGGATATAAAGCTGGAGCTATGACTATGATACAGCTCCATAGACACCTTTGGACGTCGTTGTAGACCGACATGAATCTGTATCGGCGTGCAAGCAAGGACCGGATAGGGCTACAATCTCGATAAAACCTTTGAGCTGTTTCGGTTTTGCATTTGTAGATGATGCATTAAAGTATAATGAAAAATAGAATCCAGAAAGCGCTAGAACAATACTTTATGTGATAAGAAGTAACAGTTTTGTCGTGTTTCACATTTTAATCCCGAAGGGATTACGCTAACAGCTTTTTCTTTGGGATATCATTCGTTGCTCGAGCATGTATTCCACTACCATGTGTGGGTATGGGTTCGTAGAGACGCTCATCACATCCATACGCACACCCCCACCCACACCTCTGTATATATATATACCTGTCGCTTCAAGCAATAAATGCCATTTTGCTAGCTTGTTCAAAAGCAAAAAGTAAAAGCTCTATTGGACTAATAACTGGTTAGTGGTTCAGTAACCTTGCACGTTCATGCCTACCTGACAATCTTTGTAAGAAATTTATTTGTAAATTGCAGTGTAATTATGAACAGCAAAAAATATATCTTTTATCAGAAAAAAATGCAGTTTAGACTGTCCCTTCATTGTAGAATTTTACTTATGATACTCAAAAATAATTCATTTTGATGTTTCTGTTATGTCGAGAAATTACATTATTAATACGAACGTCGTATATTCAACATGAAAAGTAAAATAGTAATTAAAAGAATGTAATTGATGTAATTCAATGAAGTTTTGTTAAAAGGTGTAGTAAATGGTGGTTCAACAGTAGTCAATACATTTAATGTACCACATTGTGCAATAGTGATATCATCAAAAGCGACAGCTACTCGTGTTGGTCGTTTTTGAGTAATGCGAAAATAAATTCCCTGTGTACAAGCAGTAGGATTGAAAGGCCCGATGATTAATTGCCAGCCAAAACTATTGTCTAATTCAATAGACCAAATAGATGCTGTATGACAGCCACGGGCAATAACATCTATCTTCGTATTGTTTTCATTTCGTTGAACATCAGTCGAATTAACGAAATAAGCAAATCTAATACACATATCTCTATTTGTTTCAATCAACGGTGTTTTAAATTGTCCATTAATTAATCTTGCTGATGTCTGTTCAGAACGTGACCAATAAAGAAACCAATCACCACTCCAACCTGTTGTTTGTCTTGGACCAAGATCTCGATCATTGATAGTATTCGGTGATTTTATGGTATAGTTAATGACAGTTTCTGGATGGAAATCTATATGATCATCTCGTATACCACATGTTGAATCCAAGGGCGAATCAAAATCACAGGCAAATTCAAGATGTGAAGTGCCATAAAAATATTTTTGAAGATATCCTCACGAATTAACAGAAATTGAGTCAAGTNAAGTGCCATAAAAATATTTTTGAAGATATCCACACGAATTAACAGAAATTGAGTCAAGTGCGAATGAACTATCTACTTCATAGTCAGAATCCATTCGAAATAGAAGAGAATAGCTGCCTATTAGTAATGGTGCATAGGCCCAAGACCTATTCGAAAGATATTGAAAATAATTTTAATCTCAATATTGTCACTTACCATCGTTGATTTATATAAGTATAATTAATAGAATTAATTGGCCAAATTTGTGCAATAGATTTTTGATTCTGTTCATCGAATGCTAATACAGTAAGTTTACTAGTTCGGAATGTAAGTCCAAATCTATAATATTGAAAACTAAGACAATATACAGGATCAGACACTGTGATACGAAAGAGACGTGTGCTTAAATATCCAGCACCGCCCGGTTGTAATGAATCGGAATTATTAAGCCAAATATAATGACCTAGAATGATAAAAAAATTGTTCAACGAAATATTCAATTTTTGATAAAA